CCCATGCCTGTCTTGCCCGGGCAGCTGACTGGGCGAGGGTGTCCCAGAGCCCAAGCTTGGAGGCCTTTGGCTTTGCACCCCCACCGCCCGGCCCAGCAGAGACGCCCCCCTCATCGCAGCCCCCTCCTCGCTGCTGCCAGGCCTTGGGCGCTTTCTGCAAGCCAAGCAGGGGGTGGAAGGCCCCCACGCCCCCCCCCGCCCCCCCCCGGTATGGCTGCGCTAGCGCAGTTCACCTTCTTTCTCACAGCTGGTGCAGGTGGGGACGTGCCGGCTGTCGGATCCCATTTAGACCGTTTTTGGCGCTGCTGTGAGGAGAACACTCGCCAAAAGCAAAGCCAGGCCACATAGCACACGTCTGCACGCTTAATATGGTCCAGGTGCTCTGTGCCGCCACAGCCGAAATAAGAGAAGAGGCCTCTGAGCCTGTGCAGAATATCGCCCAGTCATCAGCTGCGTCTGGAAGGGGGCGGGTGTCGTCCGGGACAGAGAGGCCCCCGTTTCTCACACGGAGGACGAAGACCTTGACTCCAGCTTACAGGCCTTGCGGCAGCCCCTTGGGGAAGTCCTGCCCCTTCCCTTCCTCTGCCCACTGGCTAGGGGTCCTCCTGCGTATCCCATGGGCTTCGGAGTACTCCTCCCCTACCCCTCACGAGCAGAGAGCCAGGCTTATCCAAGAATATTTATTGAACCGCTGAGGCAAGCTCAGGAATGCCCCCCACGGGGCTCCGCCTCCTTTGCGGCACAGCCCTCCCCACGCTGGCCACCGCAGCCCTAGGCCGCCCGCTGCCCACCCTCAGCCCAGGGCCAAAGCCAGCACCGCCAGGGCACAGAGCAAGCTTTGGAAGGCCGCCCTGCGCTCGCCATGGGCCCCGCTGGCGTCCATGTCAGCCCAGAGGTCATTCTGCTCCTCGCGCAGTGGGGAGTGACTCGCGGCAATCTGAGGCACCCGGAAGGGCTGTCCATCATGAGCAGAGGTCTGCTCCAGCCAGGAATGGTAGTTGGACACCCGCGTGTACACGCCTGGGCTGCGGGGTGCCGCGCAGCTCCGACCCCAACTCACAATGCCGACTTGGTACCAGCGCCGGGGGCTGCTGCGGCTGCCATGGCTGGGTGGGAGACACATCAGGGGTCCCCCGCTGTCCCCCTGCACGGGAGAGAGAAGAAGAGGGGGCAGGGAATTGGGGAGGGGTGGGGCCACTGGAATAGAGGAGGGGCCCTCCCACGGCAGGGAAGCCTGGGGCACTATGGGCTGCTCAGCAGGTCGCGCAGGAGGCCCACCGGTGTGCCTTGGCTGTTCCACTGAGGCCAGCAGCCCTTCGGGGCAGACGAGGCTGGTGAGGGAGAAAGCAAGCAGGTCCCTCTGGGACTAAAGATGGCACTGGCCTGTGTGCGGGCGTGCCCAATGCACCAGGATGGTCTCGGGCACTGAGTCAACCATCCTGTGAATCAAGTTTGTTTCCTTTGCAAGACGTGCTGCGTGAACCCAGCTGCTGGGTCTGCTGAGCTGGGTTGAAGGAGTCTTTGCTGAAGACCGGAGAGGGCCTGGGCGACGGGCAGGCAGCTTGGCCTCTCGGTCCCGGGGGCTGCCCCAAGCCTGGGGTGAGCCTGGGAATGCCAGGCGGGAGGAAGGGCGCTTTGTGGGTGAGGGCAGCCCAGCCCGGCTGTCCTCCCGGAGACTTGCAAGGACTCCCTGAGTCCTTTGGGGCAGGGGCTCGAGATTTGGCCTTGTGCCGGGCACACTGGAAGTGGTGGGGAGCAAAGGCGGCTCCTACCTGGCAGGCATCGCGGCCGCCTTGCTCGTATCCAGCGCACACCATGTTCCTGGTGATCGAGCGCAGCCACCGGAGACACAGCGTCCAATCTACCAGGCCCACCTGAACATCCAGCAGATCCAAGGAGCCATACTGTAAGCCTAACGGACAAACAGGAGAGAGGAGAGCCAGGGCAGGCTGCTTGGGGCTGAGCCCCAGAGATTTTCCCTGGGGGAGAGCCCTGGCCAGCAGGATGGCAGGAGCCAGGCAAGTCCGTCTCCTGGCCGTCCTGGCCCTCCACCAACCCTTTTGCTGGCTTAAAGCCCATCTCATCTCAACCAACTTTTGGTTGGGGGGGCACATGCGTTTGTGCTGAGCAGAGCAACCAGGGGTATTAGATTTAGAGAAGGATCTGATGGGAACAAACCTTTTAGAGAAGGACAAAGAACCCTGGTCAAGACTGAGGCCAGGACGAGGGAACCGGACTTCCTGCCCCATCGTGATGCCTGCCACTGAACCCAAGACGCACAAGGAGAAGCAACCATGGAAGGACCCGCAGCTCTTTGCCTGCCCACCAGCAGGCTGAGAGGCAACAGCCCCTTCCCCGGGAGGGTTCTATGGGACAGGGCGGGCAAGGGGGGTTGCAGGGTGACTCTGAGCAACTCCAAGTAGCCTGGAGAGCAAAAGGACCCAAACTGAGGCTGCTGGAAGCGCAAGCGTCTGTCCTTATTGGAGGTAAAGGCCCAAGTTGTTTTGGCGTCCGTCCTACCGGGGTGCAGGAAGAGAAAGCAGGATCAGGAAGCCCACAGCCAGCTAGGCAGATGCGGTCGCCAAGAACGGTCTGGACTCTATCATGAGGCCTAGGCTACCTGACGGTAGGATGCCTGGGAGGAGAGGGGCTGCATCTGACAAAGGGGGAAGGAAGGAAGCCTTTGGCAGGCCCCTTGCCAGCTGTATCAGGAGGGTCACAAAACTGGACAGATGGTCCAGGTCTGAGGCCACCGACCCCGAGCCTGACTCGGAGGCTGGCAGGGAGCTGCACTCCTGCCATGCCAGCCTCGGATCTTTCCACGGCAACACATGGAGTACTGGGAACAAGGAACCCAACTCAGGAGGACCCGTGGGAGTTGTTGGACGAGGCCTGGAAGGCACAGTGACTTCAGAAGTGGTGGGGCGGGTGCTGCACCCCATAAAGAAGCCCTCCTCCTGCACAGTTCACAAACTGGGACGCAGAAGTCCTGCAGAGAGGATGAATTTGGGTACAAATACCAGGAGAGATAGAGAAAAGTGCTATCACCGGAGGCGGGGGCGGCGGGGGGGGTTATTCCAGGCCCGAGACACAGTGGAAGCCTTTCTGGGTTAGAAGACCAAACGTTCAGAGACAGATGTCAGTCATAGTGGCGGTGGGAGGTTTCCACTGCCCTGGCAGCAGCTGGTCATTGAACTCTGCCAAGGGTCAGGGGTCCAACAAATCCCCCTCTCTCTGGCAACAAGGTGGACTAAGGGGGCTGCTGTCTCGATTTAATTGCTACCCACAGGGAGGCACTGGTTAAAGAAGCGAAGGTGGCTGGCACACTGAGGAAAAGCGACGTTATCCTTGAGTTCATGACATCAAGGTGAGAGCCAGACTGGCATGCTGGATTCCAGAAGAGCAGAGCTGCATGAATCTGGATGGAAGATAGGCCGGAGGCAGCCCCGGAGGCGAAAAGGGTCTGAGAAGAGTAGGGAGGGACGCTGCACCGCCAGACCCTGAAGGCCCCATCACAGAGGATTCTGGCAGCGGGTGTCGAAAGAGATGACTGTGGACACCCACAGACCTTTCTAAAATGGGGAAAACGGAAAGGGACAGGTCTTGGAAGGGGAAGGAGAGCTGTGCCATTGAGGCTGATACAAGCCGAGAGGGGGACGGGGGCTGGCGAGGAGACTCCTGCTGTTCGTCGGTCTTTTCCCAGAAGGGAAACCAGGCCCCAGCTGTCTGTTGCCGCGCCACCGGTGGAAGGCAGGGCTCCCACTCAGGATAGGCGAGGACAAAAGACATTAATTGGAATTAACTGCAGACAAATGACACTCCCTAACGCTGGTGATTGCGGAACTGTTCTCGGTAATCTTTGAGAACCCTTGGGGGGCTGGGGAGGTCCCCCAAGGCTGGAGAAGAGCAAATGCTGACCGATCTTCAAAGGAGGGAAGCAGCAGCGCCCGGGGCATCACCCGTCCATCAGTTTCATCTCTGCACTGCACAGGGACCTGGTTAAAGAGTGCGCTTGTGAGTGCTTAAGCAAGAATGCAACAAGAGCCAGGATGCGTTTGTCACAAGCAGTCATGCCCGACTAACTCTGAACTCCTTTCATGGTGCAGCGATTGGCTTAATCAGTCAAAGCAGTGCCACGGAGTCTCTCGTTAGCACAGCAGGTTCAATAATGCCACTGGGGCCTGCCTGGGCCCTACATGGTTCCGCTTGCTTATTAATCTGGACAAGTGGCTTGAGGGGATGGCGATGAGAATTAGGAGGAGCAGCTGATGCCTTAGAAAAGAAAATCAAGCCAGATCTAAACTTGAACAGCGAACCTGGGTGTCCTTGTTAAATGCAAACTCCTTGGGGGGGGCGTAAGAGGAGCACAGCACCCAGTTCATTGGCTGCAGTCAGGCTTATACGGTATCCAACCCTGAGCAACCCTGAATGGCTTATGCAGCTGAATAAAGTAATGAGAATGAGCGGAAAAAGACATGGCAGCAGTCTTTGGATAGGCAAAGGGTTGCCATCGAGAGGCGAGAGAAGACTTGCTTTCTCTCAGGCAGGAGGGCAGGACCAGAACCAAGGGGTTGAAACTGACTTGAAGGAGGTTCAAGTCAGAAACTGGAGGAATTTCCTGATGGTAAGAACCACCTTGCAGGAGAAATGGCATATTCCCTTCACTGGAGGACTTCAGACTTCACACTTCGATGTGAAGTGCTCTAGCAAGCAGCGGGTCGGACCGGATGACTCTGGATCCCTCATCTAACGCCATGGTTCTGTGAGAAGGCCTCCCTCCCTCCCCTTCTGAAGCCATCAAGCCCGCAACAGCTCCGCCCCGGGGCAGTAAAGTCTCTGGGGAGAGTGAAGCCTCTGGCAGGAAAGTTGGACCAGAGTAACATCGCAGCCCTGCAGAGCAACCCCGCGAGGTGCGTGGCTCCGGCTGCACCACGGTGGCGGCTGCCTTGACCCTTCTGAGCATGCCGTGCAGAACCCCTTGCTGTGAGATCAGCCATCGACAGGGAAGGCAGCCCCGCGTGGAAAGGAGAGCTCTGCACAAGGGCAGGGCCGGGCCGGGCCGGGCCGGCTCACGGTGCTGCGGGGAGGAAGGCCCCCGGGTCGCTTCAGGGGGTGCCCGCAGGCGGGGCCCAGGGCTAGGGGTTCCTGCGGGGTGGTCAGGGGAGGGCGCCTGGGCTCACCGGCTCTTGTGAGGCCCCAGCCAGCCACAAAGCAGCTCTCCCACATGTTGTCGTCTGGGACGATGGTGCGGTCCGGCAGGCACAGGGCGGTGTGGTACCAGCTGTAGGGGATGGGCTTCTGCAGCAGCAGCAGCGCCAGGTCGTTGTCATAGGTCTTGGGATTGTACAGGGGATGGACGTGGATCTTGCGCACCCAGCGCGTCATGTTGCTTCTGCCCAGGTAGTTGCTCCCTGCGGCTACCCTGATGCCCTTCCTGGGCCGGGGGGGGCAGTCGGTCAAAGAGAGAGAAGCAGAGGATACGCACGAGCAGGAGAAGAGACGGCCAAGCAGAGCGGCCGCTGCCCAGGAAACACTGAGGGACCCTAAGGAGCCACCGAAGGCAAGGGCCGCTCTCCCGCC